CCCTCGGCAAAGATTTAAAAAAAATAAAAATAAAATTTTTGCAACATTTCTTTGCCGAGGGCCATGGGGCCATGGTTGGGGGCCCTCGGCAAAGACTTTTAAAAAAATAAAATAAAATTCTTTGCCGAGGGCCTTCGGGGAAGCCCTCGGCAAAGATTTTTCAAAAAAAAAAGAATAATTCTTTGCCGAGGACCGTCCCATTGCCCTCGGCAAAGACTTTTAAAAAAATAAAATAAAATTCTTTGCCGAGGGCCTTAGGGGAAGCCCTCGGCAAAGATTTTTCAAAAAAAAAAAAGAAGAATTCTTTGCCGAGGGCCGTCCCATTGCCCTCGGCAAAGATTTTTTAAAAAATTCTGCACATTTCTTTGCCGAGGGCCTTCGGAGGACGGATGCTTGGAGGCCCTCGGCAAAGACTCCGTCCCAGGCGCCGGCGCCGTGACGGCTGCTTTTCTTTGCCGAGTGTCCGATAAAGGGCCCTCGGCAAAAACTCTCTTCGCCGACTCAAAATTCCCCGAGAGCTCTTTGCCGAGGGCCGCCCTCGGCAAAGCCTTTGCCGAGGGTTAATGGGCTTTTGCCGAGGGCCTAAGGCCCTCGGCAAAGAGGCCGTCTCTAGTAGTGGTTGTTGAGTATTTTATGTACTCAACCCACACTATGCTAGGATTTTAGGAATGAAGTTGTTGGAGTATATACATGGATAAAGCTGACGGAGTGTATGCAAGGATGGAACCGCATGAGCATAGACGAGGATGAAACCATCACTACCGGAAACATCAAATTTACTGAGTGTTTTTATGTTTGCCGAGTGTATTCTCTCGGGCACTCGGCAAACAAGTTCTTTGCCGAGTGCTGCGCTAAAAACACTCGGTAAAAAAACACTCGGCAATAAGGAGGTTTGCCGAGTGTAAAAAAAGCACTCGGCAAAGACGGGGTTTGCCGAGTGTTTTCTTTTTTACACTTGGCAAGGAAATAAAATCTTTTTTCTAGAAAAAAAGGAGAAGAAAAAAATTGAAAAAAAACACTTTGCCGAGTGCCCAGATCTAGGACACTCGGCAAAGAAATAAAATCTTTTTTTCTGGGAAAGAAGGAGAAGAAAAAAAAAAAAAAAAATAAACGCTTTGCCAAGTGTCCAGATCTAGAACACTCGGCAAAGAAATAATTTTTTTTCTAAAAAAAATGAAAAAAAAAAACACTTTGCTGAGTGCCCAAATTTAAGACACTCGGCAAAGAAAAAAAACCTGCTTAATTAACTGGCGCCCGCCCACGCCCCTCCCTCCCCCTTCTTCTTACCCCACCCGCGCCCTCTCTCCGCCGCGCCGCTCCCCTCCTCCGGCGCGCCCCTCCCCTCCCTCTCCGGCATGGCCCCGTCCTCCCCTCCCTCCTCCCCTGCCTCCTCCCCAGATCCGCCTTGCCCGTGCCCCTCCCCTCCCCCTTCTTCTTCCCCCACCCGTGCCCTCTCTCCGCCGCTCCGCTCCCCTCCCTCCCCTCCTCCGTGCGCCCCTCCCCTCCCTCTCTGGCGCGGCCCCGTCCTCCCCTCCCTCCTCCCCTGCCTCCTCCCCAGATCCGCCCACCCGCGCCCTCTCTCCCTCTCCGGATCCGGGCGTGGTGGTGGTGGTGAGCTCGCTAGAGCTGCGCGAGCCAGTCGAGCGCGAGGTGGTGGCGGCGCCTCTCTCCTCTTCATCTCCTCCACAGGTGGCGGATCCGGCGCCCCTCCCCCTTCTTCCCCGCGGTGGCAGATCCAGTCACGCCGGGGGCGGATTGGGTCGTGGTGGCGGCGGATCGAGACACGGCTGGGCGGATTGGGTCGCGGTGGCGGCGGATCGAGGCGCGGCGGATCTGCCCCGTCCACCTCCGGCGATGGCGGAGGGAGGAGCGACGCGGATCCGGTGGTGGATCGATCTGTGCAGAAGAAGAGCACAGAGAGCATCAACAACAAGCTGCAGCTGGTTATGTTTTCGTCGATTGTGGTAATTATTGATGTATGATGTTCTATGATGCCTTTTGCGGTCTGTAAATGTCATGGATGGTTTTGGTTGTGGCGATTGTTAGTATCTTTCCAGCTAAATATGTTGAGGAATATGCTTTGTTTTTTTTATTGTCTGTGTATGAATTAACTTGTAGATGTACCTACGGATTTGTTTTAGGTAGTTCACTGTCAGGATTTAGAGTTTGGACATCCCATTGTATAATGGGACTGAAGTTTGCCTCTTTGGCTTGCTTTTACCACCGCCTTAGAGATGAATACAGTACCCTAGAACAATGCTAGTTTTCCATGATAGAGTTCCTTTTGACCTCTTCGTATCTGGAGGACAACTGGAGGCTGCAACAATATTGTTTTCACGTATTTTTAGTAGGGTTATTTCCTTTTGTTGGCTGTTTTTGTTCGTTCCATTATGTCTGAATAGTGAACGTGGTTCAATTTGCAAAATATTAGTGAGGTTTTAACTTTAGCATACAAAACTGTTGTATTGTTGCATAGTTTATGAATGGGGCTGGAGTTTGGCTCTTTGGCTTTATTTTTCTGTGCCTTTGAGATGAATGCAGCACCCTAGAACAAAGCCAACCTCCTGATTAAAGTTCTTGATTTATTCTATAAACCTGGAATACAATTGGAGGTTGAAATATTTGCTAACTTAGTACACCACAACATGTGGTTCAAGTACGTTTGAGTGATGGGGTCGTCTCAGCATGCAGAATACTGACGAGTACGCTTTGTTAACATTGTGCAAACATTATTGTTTTGGCACCTGGGAACACTTAAGAAAAGGTGGTGTTGGCTTCCGAGTACATATGATTTTGAGCTCTTACAGTCTGATTCTGATGTCTGTATTCAGGAAAGCTGATCATCATTGCGAACAACTGCCCTCCACTTAGGAAGTCTGAGATTGAGTACTATGCTATGCTGGCCAAAGTTAGCGTGCACCATTTCCATGGAAGTAAGACCACCTTCATCCTTTCAGGATTATCTATTGCAAGTTCTGTTTGTTTTTAGTTATTTGGAGTTATACTTGGCACCACTCATTTAATCGACTAAGGTTGGCATTGTAAATTTTGCTATTATGTGTTCAACCCATTGTTTTGTTGACATTTCAGACAACGTTGATCTTGGCACTGCCTGCGGCAAGTACTACAGGGTGTGCTGCCTCAGTATCATCGACCCAGGTTCGTTTCTGTTAAATTGTCATTATCTTCTTCCGCTCGGAACTGTCACTGAACAATTGTTACCTCCTGTAATGTCTCTGCTCCAGGTGACTCAGACATCATTAGCACCACCCCTGGCACCCAGTGACTGAAGAGTCAGGAGCTTCGCCTGTCACTAGTTGAGATGAGATATAGGGCTCAGACTTCCGCTGCAAAGCCCTATAGCCATTTCTTTTTTATCTTTTAGTTATGTAATTGTGCTATCATGTGTCCATCTACCATACTGTGATACTGATAATACCTCGTATGGCTGCTATGTAAGGCATATCCATCTTGTTTGATGAGATCGTTATTTTTTTCTTTACAAAATAGGTTTGCCGAGTGTAATTCTTAAAAAACATTCGGCAAACAATAATCATTTGTCGAGTGTATTTTGAAAAAAACACTCGGCAAACCACTTTTTTTTGCCGAGTGTCAAATTTGACACTCGGCAAACCATTTGTCGAGTGCGTGATAAAAAACTATTCGGCAAATAGCTGTTTGCCGACACTGTAGATGACGTGTGCTGTTTGGCGAGTGTTACACTCGGCAAAGCCTTTGCCGAGTGTTTTTTGATATTTGCCGAGTGTCTGTGGCACACAGCAAAGTCACTGTTTCTGTTTCTGGTAGTGCATAGTAGCGCGCACAAGAAGGATAGAGGGCAAAGGCTGGGGTGCCCTCCGGCTTCAAGGAAGCTTAATTAGGGAGACCATCTGGCCGGTGATGTCCCTCACTCCTAGCGAGAGCGCCACCCGGGGCTCGAGCTCGGGGCCTCCCTCTCCGGAGTTTGGTCACTTGATCATCCCGGCTGAGCACCCTCCCCGCGCACAAGAAGGATGATGCAAGAGTGCCTACAAAGATGAAGATACATGAACGATCATAATGATGAGGATTACGTTTGCACTCAAGTTTGTCTATATGAACATTTTTTCAAAAAAAAAGTTTGTCTATATGAACGGAATCACAACGTTACGACGTACGACGTAGGACCGCTGTAGTTGAACTCTGATGTTCAATATGTAAGGCCTATGACCCAAGCTACGTAAAGAAGAACCCTTGTAAATATATTTTTGTGTTATCAATAACGAGTATGGTATTTTATATTAATCTGTATATTCAGGCGTCCCGTAATATTTGCACATATCCGATTCAATTTTTTTCCTAAAATAATGGCCAACATAGTGTCTGACGGACGGCACAGTTGTCGAGCTAACAGAATAAAATAAAAATGAGAAGCACACCATTCCAGCGCTTCCTGGCCACTAGTTCCTCTACCTATTCATCGATTTATATTATAAAAAAGAAAACGGACGCTCAACTTTATCTGTTCCTTCCGTTTCTCGATGGTTTCGTTCCGTCGCCGCTGTTCTGTTCCTATTTCATTTACAGGGGCAGAAACATCATTTTTCACCTCTCTTGGTTTGCATGTCCAAACCTAGAAATGCAAATATTTTGGAATAGAGGGAGTAATGCATACTGGACCTCCTAGAGTAGGGCCCAACACACAACCACCTCGGATAGTTGGATTGTTTCATACAGTACCTAATTGGACCAACAGTTATTATATATAAGACTTGGTTGTGACGCGAGACAATTCAGCCATGAAACAAGGTAAACGTTGGTGTTCACGGCAAGAGCAGCTTCCCGGCCTTATAACAAACAAGCAATATACAATTGCGCGGTCCCAAGAACGACAGGCCGTAAAAACATGCTCGGAGCAATGCGTGATTATGCCAATTGCGTGCATGCACGCTGCGTGTGTTGGCTAGCTTTAATTCGACCAGTTCTTCCAGATCGAGCTGACGACGTACCTACCCACAGCCATGCCGCTGCGCTTAGCCGCCGCTCTGCTTCTCCTGGCCACGGCGACGACGTCGTGGTTCGCGGAGGTCGCCACTGCCGGCCGCGTCTTCAACGTCTCGGATTTCGGCGCGGTCGCCGACGGGCGCACGGACGATTCCGAGGCTTTCCTTCGGGCGTGGACGAAGGCGTGCGCGACGCCGGGGAGAGCCGCGGTCGTCGTCCCCAGGGGCGACTACCTGTTGCACCCGCTGGTGTTCCGGGGTCCCTGCAAGGGCTACATGGAGGTCCACGTCCGCGGCGTCCTCCGCGCGCCGCCGGGACTCGGCGCCTTCCGTGGCTGCCGCGAGTGGGTCCACTTCTCCAGCATCGACGGGCTGCTCGTCACCGGCGGCGGCACGTTCGATGGCCGCGGCTCCACGGCGTGGCCGCTCAATGAGTGCCCGCAGAAACGCGACTGCAAGCTTCTGCCCACCGTAAGTTCAGGGTCATAACAAGCATGCTGGCATGCTGCATGTTCTTACACGTAGGCCGTCCGATAGAAAATCCAACGATCTTGCGTTCTGATGATTTTTTTTTCCTGATTCATCATCATCATCAGTCCATCAAGCTCGGGCTGGTGAGGAACGCGACCATCACGGGCGTGACGTCGCTGGACAGCAAGTTCTTCCACGTCACGGTGGTGGGCAGCCACGACGTGCGCATCCACCGCGTGAGCATCCGCGCGCCGCGCAGCAGCCCCAACACGGACGGCGTGCACATCCAGGGCTCCTCCAACGTGCGCGTCACGGACTGCGCCGTGGCGACCGGCGACGACTGCGTCTCCGTCGGACCGGGCGCCTCGGACGTGGTGGTGTCCGGGGTGTCGTGCGGGCCGGGCCACGGCATCAGCGTGGGCAGCCTCGGCAGGTACCCCGGCGAGGAGGACGTGCGGCGGCTGCGCGTGGCCAACTGCACCCTCGCCGGCACGTCCAACGGCGTGCGGATCAAGACGTGGCGCGGCGGGACCTGGCCCACCGCCGTGTCCGGGCTCGTCTTCGAGGACATCGTCATGAGGAAGGTCCGCAACCCCATCATCATCGACCAGGAGTACTGCCCCTACGCCTCCTGCCGCGAATCGGTCCGTCGGTCGATGCAAACTTCTGGATTCATGCATCACAAAACGCTCATCTCTATCACGTTTTTCATAGTCGGCTTGCAGGAGCAGCGGCCGTCGGCGGTCAGGATAAGCGACGTCAAGTTCAGGAACATCCGGGGCGAGTCGGCGACCAAGGTCGCCGTGAAGCTGTCGTGCAGCGAGGCGAGCCCGTGCCGGGAGCTGGAGCTCAGGGACATCGACCTGCGCTACGTCAAGCGCGGCGTTGCCACGCAGTCGCGGTGCGCGCACGTCGCCGGCGGTGTGGTCGGCGGCACGCTAGTCCCTCCCTCGTGCATATGAAGGCCGCTGCATGTCAGAGATGGAACAACTGAAGAGGAACTACGTTTTGCTTGCTTAGCTGTGAATTGAAATGGGTCGTAAACTCGTAATCACTGGTCAAAGAACATAGGCACACAACAGTGCTGTACGTGTAGGTTCTAATCGAGTTTTGTAAAATTTCTGGTGTACAGTAGTAATGCCTTGAAATTGAAAATTAGCATACGGTATTGTTGAGAACAAGAAGAAAAAAGAAAAAACATAACAAACTGCAGCTTTCAATCACTGAGATGAGATCTGTGGTCTGACTCCATGGAATCTGCTGCTTGGCTAGTGGTTCTCATCTCCACTGCAACACGACCTGGCGACGAGTCAAGTGTCAGTGACGGGTGTTGAGGACTCGAGTCGTCAGCTGTTGACTGCACTTGGATCTCACCCTCCAGGCTGAGGATGTGCTCAAAGTAGGAATGAGGCCAAAATCCTGAAATTTGTCAGGTAGTAGAACTTATTACCAACGATCCTGTAATGTATCCGCTCAAAAGAGTACTATGATAGATGCAAGATCTATCTAACATTGTACTACTAGTGATCAGTGATGACTTCTATAATTTAAGTGATGCTTTTTATTCTGAACAAATTTGCCTGCAAAGTATAAATGGTTCCTATATCACTCTGATCCCTAAAAAGAATGATGCCACGGGAGTCTCTGATTATAGGCCCATTTCTTTGTTAAACACCTCAGTTAAAATCATCACAAAAATACTAGCAAGTAGGCTTCAGATGGTTCTACCTTCTCTGGTACATAAAAATTAATATGGTTTCATTAAACATGGGACAATACAAGATTGTCTAGCCGGGGCCGTAGAATTTTTGCATATGTGCCATCAATAAAAAAAAGAGCTGATTATTCTGAAATTAGACTTTGAAAAAGCCTTTGACAAAGTAGAGCATAGTTTAATGCTACAAATTATGGAACATAAAGGTTTTCGCAGAAAATGGTTGAATTGGATGAGGCTTATTTTTGAATCTAGTATTTCTACTGTTCTCTTGAATGGAGTTCCTGGAAAAGTCTTTCATTGCAGGAGGGGAGTTAGACAGGGTGATCCACTGTCACCATTACCTTTTGTTTTAGCTGCTGATCTGGTACATACAGTTCTTAACAATGTTAGGGGGAATTGACTTTTGGATCTTCCAATACCTTTGCTTGGTGACGATGATTTCCCTATTCTACAGTATGCAGATGGTACACTCATTTTTATGCAAAGGGATGTCACCCAGTTAAATCATCTGAAGGATTTGTTATCCAAATTTGCAGAATCCACAGGTTTGAAGGTAAACTTTGATAAATCCTTTATGGTTCCTATTAATGTGACTAAAAAGAAGTTTGATATTTTAGCTAATACTCTGGGTTGCTCTAAAGGATCTCTACCCTTCACCTATCTAGGCCTTCTTTAAGTTTAGCCAGACCTTCAGTGGCAGATTTCTAGCCTTTGGTTTCAAAATGTGAGAGAAGATTGGTGGCTTTTTCATCCTTTCTAAGTGATGCAGGCAGGTTATAACTCACTAATGCAGTTCTTACCGCTCTTCCAACCTTTACAATGTGCACCTTTCTTCTACCAAAAACAGTGATCAACAAATTGATAAATTTAGAAAGCATTGTTTATGACGTGGTTCTAACTTGAGCAGCAAAAAACCATCAAAAGCAGCTTGGCCCCTGGTCTATGTACCGAAGCCGGATGGTGGCTTGGGAGTTATTAATTTGACAGTACAAAATGAAAGCTTGCTCCTTGAAAGGACCTAGGATGCCGCCTAGAGGGGGAGTGAATAGGTGTTTCTAAAAATTAACATCTTTAAATGTGGAAACAATTAGAAAAGGGAGTTTTCAATATGGAAACTCCAAATTAAGAGTAATACCACCCCTCATAAGTTAGCCACAGAGTAAACAAGGTATAAAGAATATATCTAGAAGCTACAACCCTGCAACACAAAGTTAGGACAGAGATCAAATAATATTCAGCACAGAGCTCTAATACCGGACGTGTCCAGTATACACGATTTCTGCAGATCAGCCCCGAACTTACTCCTTTCGATTTCTATCTTCAAACCAAACTGCAGGCATCTACTAGAGATGATGATATACATAGAGAACCTTACACAAGAGCTGGAGCAATCACAAATATCAAATGAAATGCGAATTGAGACACGATATTTGTTTTACCGAAGTTCGACTCGTTTGAGTCATACTCTCCGTTGAGGGGGCTGCGGGCGACCCAGCGAAGGTCAGCCCTAGAGGGTACCACGAAGGTCACTCTAGCCGGAGTCTTTTCCAACTCATTTTCCTCCTTCCACTAGTTGATTCCGAGGCGGTGGAATCGATCGTTACAAACTTTTCGAGGCACACCATAATCTCTCGGGTGCTCTCCGGTGACGCCTAACCGTCTAGGACCAAAGAGTCCAAGAGTAACAAATGCAAATCACGAGATTGACAATATGCACAAGTGCTCAAGTGGTTGGATTGCTCTCTTTTTGAATTTCACTCAACCCACAATTTGATTTGGCAAATTTAATCAATCACTCACTAAGAGAGGGTTTAGGAGAGTTGGCAAGGCTCAAAACGTGTGTAGTAACCAGCAGAATCAGTAGCCTCCAAAGGTGGAGGCTTGGGGGTATTTATAACCCCCCTTGAAAAACTATCCATTTTATAGCCGTTGCCATACCAGACACGTCCGGTGTGACTTACACTGCCCCAACGGTAACTAAGTTACAGTGACAATGTGAGGCGTCGGAACTCCCGATGAATGCTGGAACTTCCGACCGTCGGAACTCCCGACCCTCAGCGCTTTTGAAAATCATGGTAACTGAGTTAAAGTATGTGAGATGTCGGAACTCCCGATGCATGTCGAACTTCCGACCGTCGGAACTCCCGACCCTCAAGACATTTGAAAACTAGCCGTTGGCCTCTGGCCATGAATACCGGACACGTCTGGTATGACCAGGACAGTGAACTCTCTAAGTCAGTCAAGCGCGAGACGTCGGAACTCCCGACAAACCAACCCGAGAACAACAATTTTATCATTGCTGGGCAAATACCGGACACGTCCGATATGAATACCGGACACGTCCGGTATTGCTAGACCAGCAAGAAATCAGTTAGCACTTTTGTCTCTAAAACACTCAAAACTCACATGGGTTGGCTTAAGCACTTATGAAACATTATCTATCAACATGATGCATCCCTCTTAATAGTACGACATTCCTATTAACTCAAATTTAAAAAGTATAATCAAATTTAAACCTTTTGAGTTGATCTCTTTCAACCGAAGCCGTGTATTCCATTCTTCATCAAGTGAGGGTGCCAACATGTTGATATTGATCTTTTCACTTGAGTATAGCCATCTTGAGCACGTGACTTGATTCTATTCATCAAATCTGAATAATCCCAAATTTATCAAGTCACTTCCATCAAACACTTCAATAGTGATTTGATCATTCACACTAACATAACCATCATAGCTTGATTAGTACCTCAATTAAATGCAAGTACTTCCTTCTTCACCCTAGCTAGGTTCTTCGGCCGCTAAGCCGTGGCTTGCCCTTCACCCTTGCTTAGTACCTCGAAGCATTTCCTTGCTATCTTCACCATCTCAAGCCATCAAGTCACATCTTGTGTTGAATCAACCATTCATTCGTATTGTTATCTTTTTCATTTCAATTTAGTAAGCTTCAAATATGAGACCATTCCATATGCAATCCCTCATGTTTTATTAATTAATTCTTATGAGCTTGCTTTGACATAGTACATGAAAATTCCACAATAAATAAGCCTTTGCATGAATTCCATTTGTATTGTTGTCTTGTGCTTGAACTAGATTGTTTATACAACAACACATCATTTTGGCCTTTATTAAGTACCTGTGAGATAAGCTATTACCTGTCCATACTTAGCAAACGGGTTAGACCTTTAATCACGTTGTCATTCAATCATCCAAAACCACTAAAGGGCTAGATGCACTTTCACTCCTTAAGCATGTACATAAGTTTTACAATAAGGTGGACATTCCATGGGTCCAATTAGTATGGGGACATTATTACTCTCAAGGCAAGTTACCGTATCAAGGTAGAAGGATTATAGGTTCTTTCTGGTGGCTAGATATTCTCAAACTACAAGATGACTACAAAGGTATGGCAATGGTTTCTGTGAAAGATGGATCAACATGCTTCCTCTGGCATGATCTTTGGGGAGGATCTGTTTGCTCTCAAACCTATCCCGATTTTTTTCTTATGCTAAGAATCAACAAATTTCTCTGAAGGTGGCAGCATCCACACCTCTCATTCGGAATTTGTTCCATTTGCCGCTCTTTGGGGAAGCATATGCTCAGTTTCAGGAACTTTCATAAACTATTCACAGCTTGCACTTGCAACAATCTAATGATAACTGGTCTTAGATTTGAGGGTCCTCTACTTATTCATCTAAGAAGGCTTATAAACATCTTTTGGGTCATCATCATGTACCTAAAGTTTATAGTTGGCTATGGAGATATGCTTGTCAGGATAGAAGGAAATTCTTTTTTTTTTTTGGCTTGTATTGAAGAATCGGCTGAGCACTAGATCCTTATTATGTCGGCGTAATATGCTTCTCTAGGATTATACTTGTGTTTTCTGTTTGCTCAATGTTGAGGAAGATCCACTTCATCTTTTCTTTCATTGCCCGTTCTCTCAGGCTTGCTGGTTCAGTTTAAATGTTTTTCTACCAAACAGTGATGATATTCTGGACATCGTAGACAGTATTAAACATCAGCTAAACCAGCCGTTCTTCGTGGAGATCAGAGTAACAATGTGTTGGGCTATTTGGATCATGAGAAATGACGTCATTTTCAGAAATTTGGAGCATTCAGTTCAAAGATGTCGCTCTGTCTTTAAGAAAGAATTTGCTCTGGTTATTCATAGAGCAAAGACTTCTCTTCACCCACGCATAGATTCATGGTCAAGCCTTTGTGTAATCTTAGGCTATCTTCTTTTTAACTTTCTTTGTTTCTTGAGTGTAATACTTTGTATGTTTCAAGTTTTTAATAAAATTTCAGTAGGGGCTCTAAGCCCCTCCTGTTTTCTTAAAAAAACAGAAAAAATACGGTGTTTTTAAGGAAAAAAAGAAGAGGTACGGTGTTGTACCGTGGTAATTTTAGATACCTTGTTCACAAGATGGTGGTGGGAAGAACTGCAGATAGCAGAAGGAAGCAACCACCAATCCTGCAGATGCAGAGTCGTTACTACCAGCGACACTGTGATCTACTCCCTCGGTCCATAACAAGAAGTCGTTATGGGATACGTACATGTTAAACTTTATAAATTTGAATTAAATTTATAAAAATACGTGCAACATTTATATCTCAAAATAAATTTATTATAAAAGCATATTCAACTAAATATCTAACGATACTAATTATGTATTATAAATATTAATATTTTTTATATATAATTGATCAAAGTAAAAAAAAAAAGATGACTTCTCGATAAGGAGAGAACGTCTTCTGTTCTGGGAGAGGGAGTACTTTATCATCTCGAGAACGCAGAAGAGCTGCCGACACAAGAAACGACAGCCCGGGATGCGATTCGACATACCGAGAACTCCGGCGGTGAACACGTCCTGCCAGTGGTGCCAGTAGTCGTCGACCCTCGACACGGCGACCATCGAGGCGAGCAGCAGCGACAGGGCGACGATGCAGAGCTTGGCGACGTGCCCTCGCCGGTCGAACGCCTTGATCTTGCCGGCCAGGTACCAGGACAGGAAGCCCAGCCCGGCGAACGACCCTGCGAGGCGCAAGCGCAAGGAGTCCAGTGCTCAGTGGCGGCGGCGGCATGCAAGCAGATGGAAATGGCTTCCATAACTGTGGAGTAGCTAAGTTACATGAGGTGTGGCCGCTTGGGAAGCTCTTGTACCCTTCTTTGACCACCGCCGGGTCGCCGTGGCAGACGGCAGCTCGAGTCACGTTGTCGTACTCCTGGATGGAGAAGAGAATCCATCACGTTTACATACTGATGAGCCGGCTTTGCTGGATCTGAAGCAGCAGCTACAGAGTACATATAGTCTCTGAGCGACTGATCAGTAATCGAACAGACAGGTGAACTCACCGGCAGACCGTCGGGAAAGCAGCGCCAGAAGAAGTTGGGGCGCGGCCGGCCGACGCCGTCCTTGATCGCGTCGGTCAGGACGGCGGTTATAAGCACGGAGAACAGAAGGCCGAGAATGGCGTGGTGCAGGTCGTACACGTTCTTCCTCCTCACGTATATGCCCACGATGATGGCCACCGGCCCGACGACGGCGACCACCTGCGTGTCGACGAATGGAAAGGTTCAGTCCTGTCCAGGGTCCAGGGCTATAGGTACTCGTAGAGAGGAGCAACCGCGTGCACGCACCGGGACGGCCCAGACGGGCACGGTGTTGTCCTTGAGGGGGTACCGGAGGCCCGGCATCATGTCTGCTCCGACGAACCGGTGGAAGGGCTCGATGAAGTTGAGCGCCCCGTCGAGGGCGACGAGGAAGACCAGCACGGCCCAGTCGAGGAGGTGCGGCCTCGCCACTCTGGTTCCGTGGATCTTGAGGTAGACCTGCGCAGGTCCCGGACGAGCGGTGGCCGGCGCCGGCGGTGGCATCTTCGTTGTCCTCTCCTGGCGGGTTGGGTACCCAGCGGAATGAAGAGAGTAGGACGAGATGTAATCAGCAGACTGCAGGCAGATTCATGTAAACCATGAAAAATGAAGCTGCGAAAAAGAGATTGCAAGTGCCAAGTGCAGAGGACAAACACTTGACTTCTCCCCAGGCGGCCAGGCGCGGCAGCGGCGGCGGCACCGGGCACCGCAGCTGCTATACAGTGCGTGCTCGTGGGCAGGGGCAGACAAGGTCATCACACGAGAATCTCTCTGCAGCTTGTTCGTCGTCCGTCAGGCGAAGGAGCACGGCGGATGCTTTCTTTGCATGTGCCATCAACCTCGGAGTCGACCAAATTAAAGTGGTGCTCTCTGACAAATGCGCGTGATGCATGCTGCTAGTGTTCTGTGCTGTTTTGTTTTCTTTTTGTTTGTTCCACGTGGACTGCCCTAGGATAGTGTGTCACTAGTGTGTGTTTGTTGAAGAGCGGGGTAGCCAAATTCCAGTTTGACTGTCATTCACGCATTTTCGAACAAGCGGTCGATCTCAGTCACTGGAAAAGTCGCGGGTCCAATGAGTTCGGTTTACTTTCGTGATGCTTTCATTTTTGAACTTACCTATTTGACGTGAAAACTATCTAGTTACTTACGTGGTCCTTTCATTAGTTTGGAACCTAACGGTGTTAAGTCAAACAATGTTTAATTTCAGGGAATATTTTGCATGGTTTAAGGTTGTCATAACTACATAAAATATTTCTCATAATTGCATATGTGCTTAAACCATGCGAAATATTCCTCAAAATTAAACATAGACAGACTAAGCTTTGCACCGATTCATTTTTCACTCCGGGGCAAAATCGACATTTCACTCTTGACTTAACACCATTAACTCCCAAAACTAATGGAAGAGTCATATAAGTAACTAAACTAAAGATAGCTTTCAGGCCAAATAAGTAAGTCCAAAATAAAATGACAAGAAAAACGTAAGCTGAACTTTTTTCCAGGGCTAACAAAATAATTCTTCCTCACGTATTTTCCAAAAATAGTGTTTGGATAATTTTCAAATTTAAAATGTTTTAAGTCTAATTTATCCTCTCCTGACGTCATGTAGGATGGCTAACTTGGTGCCACCCTTGACAAAAAAAACTGTCAAAATCGGCTGAATAAAGGAGAATAAAATTCTGTAAATAAATTTTTTGAGCAAAAATTCTGCAAATAAATGAGGGGAAGAATCAGACGATCGTGGACGTTCCTAGCCCATAGCCTATGGCCAGCCAGACAGCCACGCAGGGCCACGCCCTTGAGGCCGGAGTAGTAGGTCCACGGGCCAGACACCTACACGGAAGCAGATTTTGGGTTTAAGACGGCCCACAGAGCTGCAGCCCAACTCAGCACCAGAACAGGTGTGGAGTTTTGGGTTTAATACTAGAGCGAATTCTATATGAGCCATTATAAAAGATTGCAATTCCTTATGAGTCTCTGGAAAAGTTCGGCGGACTTCAGCGCCACTGCTCTAAATTTTTTTTGCCCTCCATGCCACTGCCGTTAGATTGGGCTGTAACGGTGTCAATTGTAGGTGTGAAAAGTAAAAAATACCCTTAGGTCTAAATGTGTCATTAATTTTTTTTGAGCATCTTAACGACTTCAAATGAAAAAACTCAAAACTAGAAAATTGTAGATCTCGTCGAGATCTATAATTTCTCTATAAAAAATATCTTCATTTAGTTCCGCAAAAAAAAAGATATGATTTGATATGATTAATATATCTTAGAAAAATTATATCTTTTTTACGGTATTAAATGAAGATAATTTTTACATGAAAATTATAGATCTCAATGAGATCTACAACTTTCTAGTTTTGAGTTTTTCCATTTGAAGTCGTTAAGATACGAAAAAAAATTAATGGCATATTTAGACCTAATAGTATTTTCGACTTTTTACACATGCAATTTGACACCGTTAGAGCCCAATCTGACGGCAGTGGCACGGAGGGCAAAAAAAAAAGTTAGAGCAGTGGCGCTAAAGTCCGTCAAACTTTTTCAGTAGCTCACAGAGAATTACGATCTTTTTTAATGGCTCACGAGGAATTCCTCTTAATACTATGGTGCATGAATTTTTGGTCGTAGCTGCCTGTGCACGGCAGGAAAACTGGTTCAGCTTGTTCCTGGCTTGGCACTGTCGTGGCACATGTCCTTTCGCATAGGTGTGTTGCCGGAGAAACTAGCGGCGACATGATAATGATATTACCGGCCCGCAGACTTTGGGCGCCTCGCGTGGGTTGGGCCGGCTTAGTTGCATGCGCAGAAGGTCGGTTGGGCCAAGGCAGATTAGTGTTTTCCTATCCTACTACCCTCTGACTTGCGTGCATATAATAACAGCGTATGAGCATCTCAGTGTTTTCCTTAAAAAAAACTCCAAGAGTGTTAACCTCGTTCTCTAAATCCACATTTAGAGAGACATCTCAATAAAAATCACTCTCTATATATTATTATCCTCCAACGACTGCTCTAAATCTTTTCTTTTCCTTTCTTTTTTTTCGATAACAACTCCTCTATATATTGTGTGCAATTTAGAGAGCCAATCCTATCCTACCCTCTATAGTACGTTGTTAGCGAGAAATCAGTAATAAATTACAACGATATTTCAATATCTAATTAGAGAAGTTGTTGATGACCTTTTTCTTAACCAGAGTCTCTATTAGCATACAGAATGTCTCTTGAGTTGCTCTAATTGGGAAGGCCGATTTCGTTAGCGAGAAGAGAACATGAGAGCTGCGTGGCAGGCGCCGGTGCTCTTCTCGCTCATACCTGATGCCCCCTGATCAGGAAGCGCGCGGCAGGCGGACCGGGCCCCGTCGCGAATATTTGCACGTTGCCGGCCGGCCTGCCCCGGGCCCGGTTGGCTTCGCCCGTATCTAGGCTACCTCATCATCTTTTGGCTGCTGCCTCCGACTCGATCTGTCCCAGCGGGGGGACACCACCGTGTGTACGTACTTTTTTTTTTTGCAGGGAAAAAGGAAAAGGCCACCACATGTTTTCCAAATTCCCACCACCTGAATACCTGATGGAGGCACAATCACGATTTCACGACGCAGCTAGCGTTGATGCAAGCACAGCGAGGACAGGGGTGCCTTTTCTGCTAGATCTGCTGCTCTGACAAACTCACCGGGCACCTCACACCACACCCAAGAATTTTGGACCATTTTCTTTTGTGTTTTACGCATTGGGTCCTTTGCACAGCCCCATCAATTCAACTCAACACCTCTCGAACACGTGGATTAAAATAGATATACAGATATTGGTGCGACCAAACAAATCCTAACTTAGACTAATACTACAAAACCATGCCAAATTGAGGCTCAATTTCAGGCTTTAGTGAGTAATTCATTTTCGTCTTAAAAACAGACTATAATAACGTTTGATTTTTCCGTTCGTAGGTGGTGAGTGTGTGTCCATGAGCTCCCTTCTACGTACCTACAATATTCTGACAAAGAAAAATTGAGACTTGGGTCTTGTTTGGGCTGCAGCTTTTGCTTTCATAGAAAGCTCGAAAAGCTACAAGCTCCACCAAACGGAGTTGCTTCTTCAAACAGACAAAAGCTCCAAAAATGTTGTATTTTGTACTAAAAGCAGAGAAACTCCCTTAGAGCATCTTCTTGAGCTTTTTCAAGAAGTTTCTCTACGAAGGTGCTTTTGCAAAGCTATAGCTTCTCTAAACAAAGACTTAAAATCTAGCCTATTTGGTGCCGCTTCTTCGTAGAGTTATTTTTTTTTACCAAACGGGTTAAAATGGAACATCTCCTCAAGTAAAGCTATGTAAATTAAAACCCGGTCTCACAAGGATTGGGCGCTAGATGGACTAAAAATAACAGCTCTTCTGAGCTCCCACTCTCCTATCTGCCATGAGAAGTTATTTTACCAAAAGTTTTTTTTGAAGAAGTTTCAGCTCTATGCTTATGGAGGTAAAGCTAAAACACTAGTACAGTTATTCCAAACGGGACCTAAAAATAAATGAAGTGGAAACATGAATGGAAAATGCAATGTGCGTTTCTTATTAGCTTGCCGCCTGATTATGCTGCACTGTTTCTCACATGACAAACTGTTTGCGCGCGGTTCTCACTATACCGACAACAAGATCTTCTCTTTTCTTCCTAAAAAAGTACGTATGAATTGTCTGAACCGGCATGACGCCTATTTCTTCCAGAGCCAGGCAGCCCATGCAGGCATTATAGCCCATCATCATCTGCAGCCTGCAGATGGGCCGGTCGATCGATGCGTTCCATCCGTGCATGCATGCATGCAATGAATGATCAGATCTATCGAAGCGGTCGTGGCAGACTCGATCGCAGCATGCACATTCAGGCAGCCAGGCATGCATGCATGCAAGCAACGATTCATCAGCGACGATCGATGGATAGAGCAGACTGTACTTCGGTTCCTCGCGTACACGCACGCACACGCGACGTACGTACGCCCGCTGCCAGCATTTGCATGTTCGCTCTGATGACCACGCACACATGACACATGGGTGTGGATCCGGCCGGGCCTAGATAGGCCATGCTGCCCAAGCATGCATGATGGCGATCTGCTGGTTCAGGTCAGACGAAGCTCCTTGGTGTAAATGTGGCAACGGTGTTCACGCCGACCCGGCAACAAATATGCATGGTCACCACGCTCATGTTCATCCACAGTGCCTACCGTCCGGCACGTAGTTCTTCCTGCATGCCATGTCATAACTGCAAACAACGAGACGACTGACTGCTCTGTTGCTTGGCTGGTGCAGAGAATTGATCGAACACGGCCATCGATAATCCAGCAAGCAACAGTCTCCACGGGGCCGGCCGACTGGCCGAGCTAGCTAGCTGCCGAGATCCAATGCATGCAAGGCGGGGCCGGGCCGGGCAAAAGGTCATCAGGCAGCCGGCCGGCCACACGGTCAGCCGCATGGCATGATCATTGTGCCGCGGATCGTCGTCGTCGACCATGCGCGCCCTAGCTTAGCTAGCT